CATAAATAAAAAACTACATTTTGTTTTAAATTGTGCAACCGAGATATGTAAATATCATTCTGATATTGTCGGAACGGAGAACTGCAAGTTAGCGAACCATAAGTGCTACACGTGTTAATTTTTTGTAGTAGACAATTACAGCAAATTTAGTAAATTACAACAAATTAACAAGACCAGCGGATGAAAATAACCAGACGGTCACAATTAAGCTCGAGAATGGTCACAATAATTCACTACGGCGTGTTTCCAAATATTATCATTGTTTTGGCGCGTCATACCACAAAAACGATTATTACCTTCTAACCGCTATTATATTAGCCGTGTGAAGCATTCAAATGCACTGAGAATTAGTTCGGTACCTTGATTCGGCCACTGTACATAGTGCGTTTTGTGGCCCTTTTATAATGAATACATGTAATTTTTTTTATAAATAAGGTTCATTAAAGGTCTTGTGCTACGTCCCCAAGCACACGTAACCAGGTAGTATAACATAGTGCTATAGGATCACATTTGTTATAATTCATCCTGAAACAGAAGTGCTCTCTTGTGCCAGACATGCGTCTATGTATTTTTCGCATTCATAGCACACCACACTAGCTTACCCTAAGTTGTGTAGTAATGAGACGAAAATTGACCAGCATTAGTAACGGAGAAAGATTATACTAAAATGTATGAAGAGGGTATTATTGGTTACTACTTTTTTAAAACCTTTAATGTTACTACTCATGGGTGGTAACTGCTAGGGTAGTTAGTAACAGTTACTAACTGCTGGTAGGAACAGCAAAGGTAGTAACTGTTAACACCCTCGCCGTTACTAACTGCGCTCACCACCAGAGTTGTAACATATGTGACAAACCATTACTACCTCAAAGTTAGCAAGTACTATACTACTTTTTTTCTAAGAGTGTGGGGTTCTTTTGCATGTACCTTAAGCCTCGCACACAGACCACCAGTATTTTTGCCTTCATCGAGATGTAGCCGCCGAGGACGAGATTACAGCACGCTTCCATCGGGTTATCAGTGAAGCGTCATGGCATCAAATCACTGCGGTGGTTGCCACGTGTAGGTATCAGACACCACGTACATGGTATAGCGTGTTAACATTTACTAGTTAGTGGACGCAGAGCCCCATCCGGGTAAGGTTTAGCTCTCGTGTCATGGCACCTGATCGGAAATAGTCTCAATATTTCAAATTTCAGATGCTTAATTTTTCTCGAAGATTAACACTACTTCACTGGTGCTTCATCTTGCACAATTATTGAAGACGACAGTCTTTCTTGGGGACCTTAGACGCAAAAATTTTCGTCTGTCTGTCTGTAGATTTGTCTATTTGTCCACCCTTAATGGCACCCTAAATGGCACCAAAGTGACCAAACGACACTCCTGACGGCCGACCCCATCCGCAGAGCCCACCAATATTGCTAAAGGCTCAGCGTTCATACTTGTGCGATTGTCAATGAAAAGGCAATTATTGCGCGTATCTGAGACACCATAACAACACGTCAATATTACGAATGTGTATTTTTTACTACAAAAAGCATGCATACATAGTTTTAGGAACCGTAACCTTCACAACGCTGCGCTGGCCACGCAACGCTTGCACGGAACGGCAAGTGTTTCCAACGCTTTGCTAAGACGACACGGTGGTGGCACCTACTCGTTGCCTTACGTTCTTCACCTGATCACCTCAGAGATGGGCGCGCACGGCGCGCGCCCCTTTTTCCAAGTTAACTGTTAGATAGCGCTCATGTCTCACGTGTGACGTGGCTTGATGCGCACGCTTCCCTCTGCTGCACGCTCGAGGCACTCTAACCAGCACCTCCAGAATACTGTTCACCAATTTCCTTGCGCAGAACATCAAATAAACATTTCGTTCACTCTCTCCAGACGCAAGACTATCGTCCTTCGACGACATTTGCGGTGTAACATGCAGATACGGGGCCAATTTTTTTTCTCGTGGTTTTTAGTGCGAGTACTGCTTTATATTCTTTAGCATAAGACACGGTTTATCTCCTATAGCAAACGGCGCAGCATACGGGATACAAAGAAGAAACGAAATGAGACAGACGAGCGCAGACTCACAACTGATTTTTTGAAAGCGTAATCGAAGCTAAATAGTGTCCAGGAAAAGGCAAACTGCTACAGTCTAGCGTTCTCAGCATACCGCAAAACGCACAAAGATATTCATTCATACAGGGTCACATGTAAAACCACGTATAGTGAACAGTGACATGTAAAACTCACATATGTGTGTTTCTCATCTAACAGACTTATAGAAGATTCACTGACGCACCCATCTCCCTTTCTTCTAATGTGGAAAGCGTATTTTATTGTCCGGCTCACATAACTGCTATTCCTAAAATGATGTTTGCATTTTGAAACACAGGCGCGCAACGGCGAGCCTGTTTGTTTGTTTGTTTGTTTGTTTGTTTGTTTGTTTGTTTGTTTGTTTGTTTATTTGTTTGTTTGTTTGTTTGTTTGTTTGTTTGTTTGTTTGTTTGTTTGTTTGTTTGTTTGTTTGTTTGTTTGTTTGTTGTGCGCTTTCCGGTAAACTGATAACCTTTGACTGTGACACGTTGCCCATATTTGTGCATTTAAACGTGAGAACATCAATCTGGGCCACCTGTTGTCATAACGGCGAGTGCACTTTTTTTTGCCCATTTGAGGTCACGTAGCACATGATCTCTTTACGTGCTGGCAGCTAACCAACAATCCCTCGCATACTACTTGAAGGCATCAAGTCTGCCAGGACGAGACCCTCGATATGAATGAACAAATGAAGTGTAAATTAAAGGGCTAGTTTTCTGTGCTACACAGCCTCACTGGTCATTACCATCACAGAATGAAATGACTCATTTTTTTAATGTGAATGGCTTTTTTTTTCTGCAGCGCAAAGAAAGATGCTTCTGGATCTAAAAGCGAATTTAGGCAGAGTACTCAGTCAATGCAAGCAGGAGGTTCATAACATCCTGGGGCTCCTTCAGAGAGGCGACCTAAAATATGTACGATATTTCTCTCTCTTTGATTTCCGTAACTTTTTTTTTTACTTCATCACCTCCTCGAAGCACTTGTAAAACAAATTTTGTTTTTTGTTGTTATAGCAGCACTGCTTTAAACGAGAAAATTTAGTCCCCTTTGCGGTGTTTTGCGGTATTCCAGTGGCTAAGACGTTGCTGAGGTTGTAGGTTCATTCCAGGCCACGGCGGCGAAATCTTTATGGGGCTGAAATTTGGAAAGGCCAGTGTGCTTAAATATAGATTCAGAAGTTAGAAGTCTACAGAAAAGTGTGTACAAGATCGGTAATACAAAGGGTGCCCCAGAGTCCCTAAATTGTCAGGAGGGCTACCATACAAGATATGAACGGGGAAAAAAATATGCATCTTTCAGTGATTGCAGTATCTTCGGTGAGAAAGAAAAGGAACAGTGCGAAATTGAACAGAAAATCAAAGATACGTATAGGTGTAACAGACAAAAAGGAAAAGGTAACATTTAAAAAAACAAAAGCGGAAATTACAATACATATCAAAAGAGCAATGTAACATGTACCAAATAAAAATAAGTATAGGATTAAGACAGTTGCAAAAAGTATTTCTTTACTTCAATGTATGATCTGTGGTTGTCAATTTAATTCTGTAAGGCAGGGAATTCCATAGCTTGTTTTCCCATAAACATGATGGTGCATTTACCGTATTTCGTGCTAATTTTGGGCAAAAGACGATTACTTGGCTCAGAAAACATATTAAGTTGTTATTTATAAGGTTACCCTCGATAATGCCATCAATATGTACAGTACCACGAAAAAGCCTATACATCACCGTGGATAACTTCAGTTGAAATAGTTGATGAAGAGGATGGATATTTAAATTTTGATAAAGTGGTCCCGCATCGATTAGCAAGTGGCTGAATGTGATGAGACGAAGTTGCATACTCAAAGAGCGTTATACCACTTACAGTATTGCGGGCTATACAACCTGCCTCGCAATGAGACATGCAAAACTCTAAAATTTAGTTTCATTTCTCGTTAACTTTTTCGTACGGTTCTTTACACGTACTCATTGCTACATACCTTTTTTTTTGTTTTCTTAATCGCCACCTAACGTACACTCAGCATCAAAAGTTTAGGAACCGCTAGACGCAAAAAAAAAAAAAATGCTGAATATTCCCTCTGCTTCGGTAGGAAGACTTGTATTCCGATTTCCGGCCTGTTATAAAACGCACTGACAACCGACAACATATTTATTTATTTATTTATTTATTTATTTATTTATATATTTATTTATTTATTTATTTATTTATTTATTTATTTATTTATTTATTTATTTATTTATTTATTTATTTAAAATGCCTTACAGGCCCCTTAAAGGGCATTGAGTAAGGGGGGCATCAGTGAATACATTGCACACCAAAATAGACAAAAGGCAGAAAAAACTAAAGAAAATACAAAAAAGCAAATAAAAAACAGCAAGGTCAACGAAGTTATGCAACACAAAAACGCAACCAAATCAGGTTATCACGAAAAGATTCATGGTTGGAGATGGATACGATGTGATCTAGAAGCCTGTTCCAGCGTGCTATGGATATGGCATGAAACTACGTGCGTTGTGAATGCGTCGAGATGTGCGAAAAGGGACATGAAGTGACAAACAACGGCATTTATTACTGTAGATGTATGGATGAAATAAACATAAAAGGGCGATTAGGAGGCATTGATCCAATGCCATTAAATCAAGATCTTGTTTTATTAGGGTGGTGCTTGAATGATAGTCGTAGTTACCTGCTATGAATCTGGCTGCCCTATTCTGGATGTCTTCCAACGTACAGACTAGGTAATCTTGATGCGGTGGCATTGATCCTGATACAGTTTGTATATGTTGAGCAGTTCAACCGAATACAGTATCAAATTGCCGCGAAAGTGAAAAAAAAACTAGTGGTCTTACAACTTTTGATGCCGATTTTAGATCTTTTGATCCCTGAAGATTACTCCATCGCTTCTCTTTAAGGGACTGGAGGCATTCTGCAAGGTACACATCTCGTGCATGGATTCACTGGTGGATGGCGACACAGCGAAAGAGGTAACGATTGGCCCTGTATGACGAAGCTTGCCGCACTGCGTGAGGGATTAACAAGTCAGCAGCCACGTTGAAATTGTAGGTGTGCTGACACCTCCTGTAAAGTTGTTTGCGCTGCGTGGCGCTTGTGCCTCGCACTGAGTGGTAAGTGGCGTTATTGAGCGGTAAGTGGCGTTGCGTTAGCATGCGTTGATCACCACTATCATCATCATGGTTAGGTCAGTATGAGCTCCAGCGGTGACCACTGGCGGCAAGGCTCAGTGGCGGCACAAAACGAGTTTCTTTTCTCTGGTGGCGTTTGGCGCGAACGGTTGTCTCTCGCGGTGTGTCCCCGGTGCACGGCACCGCGGGCCGTCTGCCGGGGGCCACTCAGGTGAGTCAGGCATTGGTGATGCCGCTTTGCGTTTGTTATGTTGAGTGTTGTGTAGTTATGTGTAAGGTTGTTTAGCGTGTGGATCACAGTTGATGTTATAATAATTCGGCTGACAATATCGTCGATTCAAAAGTAGGTAAATAAATATGTTTTATTTGGTTTCCTGTGTTCGTTCACTCCAAGAGCGTGGTGGCGCTCATCACCTTCAGACGCCACAAAATAAAGACGCGTACGCAGGAAACTCATCTATATTTCTGAGAAAGGTTGCAGGACGAGAAAAATTCATTCTGTTCTGATGATCGGACGCAAGACAAATGACGTTTAGGGGTAGTCGTTGTACAATAATAGGTAACCAGAATGTTTGGAGAGCAGGGGTAGAGCACGTGCGTGCATGCGTGCTTGTATATGTTGTTGTTGTTGTTGTTGTTGTTGTTGTTGTTGTTGTTGTTGTTGTTGTTGTTGTTGTCGTCGTTGTCGTCGCAGTTCCGCTACGTTTAAAGAGCTCGTTTCGCAGGAATTTCGGTGTCGGCGCAGTTGGTTGTGAGCGAAAAATCATCATCTTGTCCGTGACCGAAAAATCGACATTTATTGATTGATATGTGGGGCTTAACGTCCCAAAACCACCATATGATTATGAAAGACGCCGCAGAGGAAAGCTCCGGAAATTTCGACCACCTGGGGTTCTTTAACGTGCACCCAAATCTGAGCACTTGGGCCTACAACATTTCCGCCTCCATCGGAAATGCAGCCGCCGCAGCCGGGATTTGAGCCCGCGACCTGCGGGTCAGCAGTCAAGTATACCTTAGCCACTAGACCGCCACGGCGGGGCCGACAAACCAAGAAAGAAGCAAATAAAATAAGCAATAAAAACGTTTAGGTGTAGTAAGAAACCAACCGAGGCCATCCGTGCAGCAAGTATACGTGTTCTTCCACATGGCAACAATTTTTTTTTTTGAAACAGCTTCCAAAAAGAGCAAAAAAAAAACACTACACGAATGTCATGTAGTGAAAGCATTCTCCTTAACGCGTGTAATATCGCGTGGAAGAAACGTATAGAATCGCGCCATGCAGGCGTCAGAACATGTGGATTTCGCAACAAGTGGTTATCTCAAAAACTCACCCGTTACAAACCACTCTGACACATTTGATCATCATGACCTGCAAAGGCATCAGCAAAGTAAGCAGCTGCTCACTTTCACGTGCTGCTTTACGCACGCGTAGTGATCCCTTCTCTGATTCGCAAAAGGAAGAATTGTGGCTTAGCGGGCAGTTAACAGCTGTGCTTGCAGTAGGCAATCCAGGATAGTTTGAAACGGTCAACCTTACACGCACAGTCGATGGTTTCCTTACCGAAAACCGAACATAACGGTAGATATATATAGCACGAGAACAGAATGATGACAAAGGTACCAAGAAGGAGACGAGCACTCGTCCCCTTCTTGTCCCTTTGTCGTCGTTCTGTTCTCACACTATATCTACCGTGATGTCATACCAACTAGCCCAAACCGCCACACTTCTGAGAACTGAAGCTATAGGTTAGCAAATAAGAAGGAGATGCTCCGCACGGGACCCTATATTGCACTTGTAATAGCCTAGTTTCAGTCCTCGGCGCATGCCTCAATCGTGCCGTAAGGAAACGATCAACTCCTTAAGACGAAGATCAAGTGCCTCCTAATTTTTTATCTGTTTGTATTTTGTTTCCTCATCTCTAGTTTATTCATCAAACTGATAACGATCTCAAATATCGGAGACATTATCACTTCAGTTTCATGGCTCTAATATTCTTCTCTTATCTATTTGTTTTCAGGTCCTCAAGTGTTGGGGTGTGGCTCTCGAAAATAAGGTAAACAGGCAGCCGAGAATACTGGCGCTATATATGTAACGCTAAGTTCGTTAGACAGCATAAAGCAGAAATGATATGTGCTTGCATCGATATACAGTATAAAAGCGGCTGAAGAGCCACCACAGAAAAACAGTTTTCAGATTTATTTCTCCGATTTTTTTCTGCAGTATGTTTCACGAGATTACGTACATGGGCACATATAAAATTGCTGTATTCAAGACGACGATTTCGAGCGTCTATTAAAAAGTTCTGTGACGCACATATTAGAAGATATGTTGCAAGTTTGTAGTTTAAGTGACACCAAAGTCAAATGACCATTTACGTCAGAGTGAAAGCTCAATGTATGAACAGTATCCTCACGCACACACACACACACGCACACACCCATGCATCAAACACACAGCGCGCTGTGTGTTTGATGCATGGGTGTGTGCGTGTGTGAGTGATTGTGTCAAGTTTTCGCGCTCGAATTAACTTTTCGGAATGCTCTACCAACTAGCCCAACAACAAGTTCTCTTAGAATATTTGAAGTGCGTTTACCCTATTCGGAGCACTGAAACGTGATTTTATTTCAAAATAGGCCCTTCTTTGGCACAAAAATAACACTACGAGGTTTCTGGATCGCCATTTTAATAATAAAGTTCAACTTAATAGTTGATTTTAGTGTTCCTTTAAGGCCTTAAGTAAACGCTGTCATATCTGCTTGGCGGAAATATTAAAACTAACGCCACTTTCGATCTCAATGAGCCTTCAATATTTGATGTAATGTACATTGCCTTTCCAGTTCATATCGACTCTCTAAAGGAAAGAAGGGTGCTTTTGCGGACATTAACTTGGCATTTTCACAAGTTTCATCACCCGTTTGAACTGTTTGTCTAATTTTGCAAAATTAAAAACGCTCAAATTCAGAGTTGCGTCATATGGATTTTGCCATCTTAACGCATTACATGCATTGAAGTAATTATTTAACGCAATTTAATAAGTGCGTTCAACTAACATGTGAAGACATTCGGTCTGTCACAATTGTATGCAGACAACAAACCACCGTTGTCGTAGTCCTTAATTTTTCTTTTCTTTTTTTACTTTTCCCTGCAGACGTACATGCTGTACTCGCCTAAGGACTTCACTCCCGTTCAATTCCAAGGCGTCAAAAAAATTCTCGTAAAACAACATTTCATAATATCCTTTTGTGCCTTATTTCGCTTTCTTTAAATGGAGGTTTACGTATCTCCTAGAGGGAAAGCATTGTGTACTAGCTACGCAACCATACCAATATGGAAAGTCATAAATTATTTTTTGGTAGCACATGTTACAGAAGAAATTTGCAAGATGGCGAACCAATTAAAAATCTGTCATACCAATTATATCAATCCTCAGAGTCGTCCGTCCTAACACATACAAGCGTAGACACACCTAGGCGAGAAACTCTAACTAAACACTTTTATTATTAGTAGTAGTAGGAGGAGGAGGAGTAGCAGTAATACTACATTTAAGGCCACCAGTGGTTTGCCTACCTAAATGGTCCGTTCTCGACGTAGCCTATTACAACTACTTATACGATATATTGCTTGCCTATGACAAACAGATTTGGCTCTTCCGTTTTTGTTACAGGACTGTTTTCTTAATACCGAAGTGATCGATATGCCCCCGCACGTGTTGGATGACCTCGCTGCACTTGGGAACCGGTACATCAAGTCGACGGGCCGGTGAAATATGCGGAAGCAGCAATGAAGCGCGAGGCACAGGAAGCGCGCCGACCATAGCCAGAACTTTTCGGTTGAACTTTTTCTTAATATCTCGGATGATAATAGTTCATTATTGTTTTGGCTTTAATGAGTTGGGACATGCAGTTCTGAATAGACAATCATCGGAAATCAACTATTTTTTTCACATATAGGAGAATGAAAGGCACGACCGAACTAGTAACAATAAAGGAAACAAGGTTAGCTCACGCTATAAGTACTGCGAACAAGGAAGCTCGCATCAAATTTTAATGAGCACATGGAACACTCTTATCATTCACCACAGTTCTAAAATGTGCGCTACGAGCCACCTTCTTCCGTTCTTTATAAAGCTTCTCCATTCATAAATAGCCCAGTTAAGTGGAACAATTGCATACCGTGTGTTTAGGAGTGCGTACATCGTAATGCTAAACCATCACAGCAAAGTGATTTAAACATATGTATCAGCTGTTATGTGGCTATATGGAACTTTATAACTGGCACTGTACTGCAAACGCAATATAAATGAATAAAGCTAGCATTTGTTCCGTCTACGAATACAGCCGATGAGCGTAGCTCCTTAAATATATATAATAAATAAATATATATATATATATATATATATATATATATATATATATATATATATATATATATATATATATATATATATATATATATATATATATATATATATATATATATATATCGGTGTCAGTAACGCGCCTTATATCCAGATGGTCCGGGACATCCATCGCACGACCCGTTCTCGACGGGGGAGACTGAGAGAGAAGGCGGGCGCGCGAGAGAGAGGGGTGCGCGCGAAGCTGCAGCGAGCGAGGAGAGCGGAGGAGCGACACCGATATCAGCGTCACGTCCGTGGCTTATTCGGTAGAGCGTCGCGCTGCGGCCCGCCAAGTCCTCTTTCTTTTAAAGATAGAGAGAAGACTGCGGACGCCGCCGACGGCGGTGGATGGTTTGGGGTCGCTTATAAAGTGTATTAACACTTAAAATAGTATACAAACGACTAATCTCGCTGCTGGCTTCCATGAAGGCGCGCTATAGGGTGGGGAGAGCGTCTGCTGAGTGGGTGAGTGTGCGGGATGCGCAGCGCGAGTCTTCTGCCGCCGCGCCTGTTGTTCTGCTCGGCTTGTCCGGCGCAGGGAGCTTCGACGGCGGCAACGGAGTGCGGGCCTAAGGAGTTTCGCTCCTAAGTAGAAAACGACTGTACGTGCGCCTTCGAAAACTCTACTCGCGTCGCGCTTGCAGAATCGGCGGGCACCACGATGTGCGAAGAATAGTGCACGGGAAACACAACTTCACAGCTGTGGTCACTCACTGCAAACAACCTTGCAGATGATCCCTTCGGGCAGGTAGGTATGCATCCGTTTGTACGTGCCCAAGCAGTGTTATCAAATTCAAAAAAATAACAGGAAGCAGTGGAGGTTTGAAGCTCGTATGCAGATTAGGTTTCCGACTCTGCGTAGACCGTGGCGATATATGAAAAAGTACAGGTCACTTTCGCTGCACAAACCGTTTCGCCACAACAACGAGGGACGTCAAGTGGCACGTGCAACACCGAAACATTTGCCTCCAGAGACGTTCGTACGGACGGAATCACACTTGCAGCGCCCAATCGACCCTTTCAAATGTCATTTCCTGCAGAAGTGTGCAAAGACCGACTCCACAATGATATCAAACGCGGTCATAGCGCGTGATAGGCCCTCGTGCTATAATTCAAGCATGAACGGAAGCTTGTAGCTAGCGTGAGGCAAAAGCTGAAGCCAATAACAATGTCTACAGCCACGCGCTCCGCTGCTCCAGACAACTGTGACTCCATACATATAGATGGCTTGCGAAAACGTCGCTGAAATCGCCATGTAAGAACAACCAACAGTGGGACGCAAAGTTTGTGATAATACTAATGTTACCGGAATATCACATAAATATTCTTTCTTTATCCATGCACAGACGCCAACTACATTCCAACCGCGTCGTTATCTTCATGGAGCGTATAAACGGCAACGTTAGTATGTTGCCTTGAAGTTATCGAATCCACCATGTTGTAGTGCCACGCAGTACGTCAAGAAGCTGCGTCTATGACGTTGCATACAAGCTATCTTTATTCCGCTATCCAATAGAAAGCACCGCTTCGTTGTCTTTTGAAAACGTGTGAACCGCAACATAATTATGCTGATTTTACATAATCAAAGGCGCCATAACAGAGCACCAGTATACGTCAAGAAGATGTGTCCACGGCGTCGTGTGCAAGGTGTCGATATAAATCTCGTTATTCAACAGGAAGCGCCACGTCGTCTTTATCTATAGGCGTTGCGTAACCGAATAACTCGGGGGACGACGAAACATTCGCAATTTCTCGTGGTTTAGCGGTCACGCAGCGGATGCTGTGAACGTCGAGCGCCGCCTCGCATCGCCACCGCCGTCGATCGAAGAGACGGCAGCGCGCGCCTCGACGGAGGACGCGTTGTGCGCCAGCTCGGATCCCTTTGGTTCGTGAAGAAGCCGCCAGGGTAACCACGGTCAGCGCGGCAGACACCAGGGACACGGTTGCGCCGACGAACAGCAGGCTACACGAGAATGCGTGAGAAAAGGTCTGCGGGAAGCTTCACGCAGCCGCCAAGGACGGCAGGGAAAGCCAGCCAAATGCGAGGGAAGATGTCTCCGAGATAAGTGGCTAATCATTAGAGAAAAATAAAGAGAAGGCGCCTGTTTCTGTCTTCCTTATCTGGAACACAGCTCAGCGCCAAACAGGAACATGAAAAGCAAGATTAGATTACAGTCTTAATAAGGGCCTGTGGCGCAAGCTGACAACTCCCAAGAGAACTGCGGCCCCGGCGATGCCGCGAATGGTGGACCAATGCAGACGCGCACCATTTGTTAGGGAATTAAGCGCTATACGCTGATTATTGTAGGTAATTAATTATCGCTGATCTGCGACAACGATTAGTGGCACAAGTGACTGTCATCTATGTCGAGCACGCGAGGTCAATTTCCGTATCACTCTGTGATACGAAATACGAGACACATATATCCCGGAAGGGGTCGGCATAGTGAGGGGAATAAGGACATGAAAGCCAATAACCAATTGTGCATTGAGGAAGGGGCACAAAATAATCTGTCCTCGGGTTTATCAAACTTTGTTAACCTAAGATTTATTCAAACGATGAATACTCTTGAACACGGGGTACGCTGGAACCAACGGTTAAACAAGCGGTTTTGTTTTTGTCCAAGAAGCTGTCATTGAAACCGACATTTTACACAAGTGGTATTCTACTCTTCAAAGCAGCAAGGTTACAGCCTTGTGTGCACGTTAAAGAACCCCAGGTGGTCTAAATTTCCGGTGCCCTCCACTACGGCGTCTCTCATAATCATATAGTGGTTTTGGGACGTTAAACCCCACATATCAATCAATCAAGGTTACAGCCTTGAAGAAGAAAAGACCGCTTTTTGAAAGGCTCCAGGTACAACAAGAGTTCAAGACTATTCATTCCACAGGTGGTGTACAGTTTTACAGAAAAATGTGCAGTTTGTGACAGGGAAATACACACCCCTTTCCTCCCTCCACCACTGAATCTGTCAAGAACGCTATCTCAGGCGGAGCCACACTTGCTGTACGTACATGATTTGAAAGTGTATAGTTTACGATTATTATTGGAAGTCGAGATAAGCTCTAACGCGAAAGCGTATGAAGGCCTGACCCCATGCAAACGTTGCAGCGCGTCAGCGCGTGGCTTTCTGACGCGGCGCCGTGCCCTCTCCACAAGGAGAGAGAGGGCGCGTTGGATACGTGATGCTGCGCGCCATCTCTCTCCATGGATAGATGGGTGGATTGATATGGCCGTACCCTTTATAGATCGGGCGGCGGCTAACGCCACCAAGCCGTGATACTCAGTGAACCAACAACTAGATTTATCTTTTTTTTTCTTTAAATAGTGAAGTTGAGGACTGGTACTTTGCAGTGAAGGGTTTATTTTTCATTTGTGCCTTAACTTTAGCCACCAATCAGATAACCTCCTTCTAGTTAATTCTACCCGCTGAAGGTCTATTTTGCCCTCCCTGTCCCTGAACCCCAGTGCTTTGAAAAACCCTGCGCCATCATCCTGAACTATAGGGTGAAGCCCTTAACAGAACATTATCAAGTGTTCGGCAGTTTCCTCCTCCTCTCCACACGCACTGCATGCCGTGTCTACCCCTTCGTATTTCGCCCGGTATGTCTTGGTTCGCAATACTCCCATTCTGGCCTCAAACAGCAGAGAACTACCCAGAGTATTATCATAGATCCTTTCCTTGGCAATTTCCTGCTTAAAAGTTCGATATATCTCTAGTGCGTACTTCTTAATCATGCCAATTCTCCACATATCAGTCTCCGTTTCCTTCACCTTCTGCTTAACCGATAGTTCTTTTTGGTTTGGCCCCCTGCTGTTTTCTAAGTATTTACCCGTCAATTTTCTGGTTCGCTTCCTGAATTTTGTATCGACATTCTTCGTGTACAAGTACCTGAAAATCTTCCTAGCCCAACGCTCCTCAGCCATTTCTCTCAATCGCTTCTCAATTTTATCTTGCTGCTAACGTAACTTCTCTGCCCTCAAACGATGTCCATCCCATATCACCTTTTACTCCCTGATTTGGTGTATTCCCTTGAGCTCCTAAAGCAAGCCTACTTATTACACGTTGCTTAATTTGCTTGAACTTCTGATCTCATGCATAAGACCGCATTGCCGAATGTCAGACCAGGAACCATGACCCCTTACCATATTCCTCTCACAACATCATACCTATTGTAATTCCACAGTGCCCTATTTTTCATCACTGCTGCATTCCTGTTACCTTTAGTCGTCACGTATATCTCGTGTTCCGTGAGGTACTCGGTCCCAATGCTTATCCATTGCTTATCCTATTTATCTGTTATCTCTAGCGTGACCTCCTGTATTCTAAGCTCACTACCTTCATTATCATTAAAATCATCACTGCTGATTTTTCTTTACTGAATCTGAAATCTAACCTATCTCCCTAATTAGCACAGATGTCCATCAATCTATGCAAATCTTCCTTGTTGTCGGCCATTAGCACTATATAATCTGCGTACATCAATGCTGGTAGTGCCTGATTAATGAGTTTTCCTTGTTTGGCGAAAGAGAGGTTGAAGCCAAGTCCACTTCCTTCTAATTTGGCCTCTAATCTTTGTAGGTACATCATGAATAACAAGGGTGACAGAGGACACCCCTGCCTAAGCCCCCGTTTTACCTCTGTGGGCTTGGATACCTGTTTTTACCACTTCATAACTACCTTGTTACTTTTATAAATATCATTTAAAAGATTAGTGACTCCATCTTCCGTGTCCAGTATTCCCCACAAGTCCTCTTGAACCACGCTATCGTACGCTCCCTTGATATCCAAAAATGCTAGCCACAGGGGCCTATGTTCCTTTTCTGCTATTTCGATGCACTGCGTCAGTGATAACAGATTGTCTTCCAACCTCCTGTGTTTCCGAAACCCATTCTGCAGTTCCCCCAGCACCCCCTCATCCTCTATCAATGCCTGCAGTCTTTCCTTTATAATCTGCACCACCAGCCTGTATACCACAGATGTCACTGTTATAGGACGGTAGTTGTTTATGTCCGCTTTAACCCTTTTCCTTTATAGACCATGCTCATCCTGCTAAGTTTCCATCCATCGATTGTTGTTTTTTTCACTGCATCTCTCAAAGTCTGCTTAGACTTCGGACCCAATGTCTTTATCAGCATAATTGGAATGCCATCTGGGCCTGTTGATGTACTACTAGGAACCCTCTTCTCAGCCCTTTCCCACTCTCGTTGTGAAAATGGCGCCAATGCACCACTCGATTCATCCTTGCCTATTGTGGTATACATAAGGCAGTTCTTTGATGAAATTTTCCAGTCACCCTCGTTCTTATATATTCAATATGTTCCTCCCCTTCTAGCCTAGCACCTTGAGCTGTAGTTATAAACCTCTGGTCTAGGCTTGTGCCATTTCTTAGGGAATTTAGATGGTTCCAAAATTTTGCAGCTGCCTTTCTATTCTTTTTATGTACTTCTGCCAGCCACCGAGCCCCCTTTATTCTAATCTTTTCATTGATCAGAAGGGATGCTTCCCCTCTACAGCTTAGAAATATGTCCCATTTTCTTTCAACATTATCTGTCGGTTCGATTGATATGTTGATTTATGTGTGGGGTTTAACGTCCCAAAACCACCATATGATTATGAGAGACGCCATAGTGGAAGGCTCCGGAAATTTCGACCACCTGGGGTTCTTTAACGTGCACCCAAATCTGAGCACACGGGCCTACAACATTTCCGCTTCCATCAGCCATGCAGCCGCCGCAGCCGGGATTCGTTCCCGCGACCTGCGGGTCAGCAGCTGAGTACCTTAGCCGCTATACCACCGCGGCGGGGTATCTGTCGGTTCACCCCGCTGATTTGCATGTCTGTGTTTTCTAGAGGCTTCCTGACATTTCGCTATGGCTCTCTTAACTTCCTCATCCCACCAACTTCTGGGATTGTGTCTTCTTTTCCGGGGTGACTTGTCACGTGCCTTAGCAAGCTCTAGCTCAAACAGTCCAATTAGATTCTTGTACGTCAACACTATTTTATTACCCTCAGTGATTCCTCACTCAATTTGTTTAGTAGCTATTTCTATACGCCTTTCTGAATAAAAAGTGTCCTGCAGTTGCTCATCTTGTCTCCTTCCCACTTTCACTGCTCTTCCTAAACCTAGCTTGATACGTTTGTGATCACTACCCAAACTTCTGGAGCCACATTCATCTATGTGCATTCCCCTGAGCCTATCATACATCCTATGTGACATCAGTGCATAATCTATCGTCGACTGCAGCCTTCCTACCTCCCATGTTATTTGCCCTTCACACTTCTCAGTACTGTTGCAAATGATCAAATCATGCCTTTCACACATATTCATGATCATTTTGCCTGTTGGGTTGTATACCCATCTATATTTTCTATGTGCGCATTCATATCTTCTAGTATTATTATCTCGCACTCTCCTTCTAATTTATCAATGTCCTTTGATATACACTCCACCATTACCTGGTTTTTCCTCTCTGGCCTTTGCTCCCATCCACAAGTACACCAAACCAAAGAGTGTCATCTGCCCAGCTACTTTCCCTCTTAACCATAAATGTTCCATGCATCCCTGCTTGACTCTTTGCCAACCTATACTTTTATGTATAAATGCTCCAATTCCACCTCCCTTTTTGCTGCCTTCTGTTCTATTACAATATTCCCATACTTAGTCCGGATTTCAAGGTGGTTGCTCCATGTCCCGAAGATATGTCTGCACATACCATACCTGCCTGCACATACCTGCCTTAACTGCTCTTATATTTCTTCCCACTTTAACCTATTCCTGCCACCCTGCATGTTAACATAGCCTATGCCTGAGTTAGCTCGGCCCTTGTGCTTACGTCGATATCTTCTCCCACGGACCCCATGTGGCTTGAATATTTGTGCCCCTTTAGAACTGTCTTTGACTACACTGTTAGCCCCAGGGCTCTGGGTCTCCCTAAAAAGCTGTGGCTTGACGACTCATCCTATTACCAATCATCCTAACTGTCGCACCATTGTAATGAATGTCATCCTGTGCAAAGGGGCGAGCGCCTGGCTCGTATATACACGTCTTGGTTCACCTCCATTACGCTGTATCCGAGCTGCCGGCTCATACACTTGGTCACACAGTTGGCCTCATCTACCCTCTTTTCAAGCCCACGAGACTGCCCCCAGACCTCTGGAACTGTGCATATGGTCACATGCGCACTCCCAGAGGCGTCCCGAAGCTTTACACATCCCATCCTCTGTCTCTGAAGGTTCTGATCCTTGCCCTTCAACACATCATTTAGCCCACCATGAATAATGAGATTTTCGCCCTCTATGCTGTTCTCTACAACCTTGTGAGCTTTGGCCAGTGCATTCACCATGCTCTTCCCTAACTAGGCCTCCCCCCTCACTCTCCCATCTTCCTTCACTGTCGTGAAGACGCCATCCCTAATCCTGGCCACGTTGGAGTACTCCACCCCTAAGACCCTTCTACGCTCCAATCGCTGGCTTCCTGTTTGTGAAGGCGCCCCTATTTGCTTCACCTGTTTCTATCTCTGCCGTCTGACCTGTGTTCCTGCCCTTCTCAAAGACTGCCACGCTACCGAGCTGTATGCTCTCGGAGCCTGCGTGCAACTGCGTTTGTGCACGGATTTTTATTGGTTGCAGGCGTCGGGAGCACACGCGCTTTGGCTGCGCCGTGCGGGGCCGGACGTGTTCACCTCCGACGTTGGCTCAACTTCATGCTCGCACCGTTACGGAACCAGGCCAACTTGCCCAATCATGCTTTTAAGTGTTTGTGGTTTCTGCCACTGTGCAAATGAAGCTTTTTTCTCGCATGTTAGTCAGCATATGTCCACAGAACACTAAACAATGAGAACAAGTCAGCAAATAGCTTGATATACGAAAACTTGCTAAACGGTTCAGATATTTGGCACTTACAATGTACGTATTTCAGGTACCACTTTGCTCTACGTTACAGTTCAGCATGCATGTATGCAACTAAACAAACGAAGTGACACTGCGTTTATGGCAGACGTGCATCTGTATGCAATTGTTGAGTGAAGTAGAAGGAAACACTGGAGAGCGTTAAAACAAATTTGATTCAATATTTGATCAAACAGACAAAATTCTAAAATGATTACATCAAGTATAACTTGGCACCAGCTGAAATAATTGACAAGGTGACCAAACATACAATGAATTATGTGGAAGGAAACACAGGAGAGTACTTAAATGGACTTTATTCAATATTTGGTCAAGCAGATATATTCTAAAATGATTACACGTAAAAATACAACTTGGCAACACTTCAAGTAGTTGTCAAGGTGCACAGAAACGGCCTACTTCGTCCTGCTTCACGCCTTTCCTCTATGATGTCCATTCGAAGAGGGTGCTATGAAGGTTGGTTCAGTGACCAGGTGTCCCATTGCGTCTGAAACCCACCACAGATGGCCACAGACAGGGTGCACATTTTCATGCGTCTTGGTGCCCAGGTGTAAAAAGCACATAACTACATGCTCTCAGCACCTCACATATCAGACGTATACGACGAAGAAGAACCTGTAATTGATACAGAAATCACAGCAAGTTTGCTGGTGCAGTCTATTAGAAAAGAACTTGCTAGGACACTTTAATGCTCATAAAAATATTTATGGGGTTTCCCATTTTTCACACTAGAGAAACACGGACACTACAGTGTTTCAGAAAGCATTTACAGAGTAATGCCTTTTGAGCCCTCACTTAATATCTAACGAAAAGGACCGTGAATACATGTATAATGAGAAATCATTGAGTAAGGGTAGAAAAACAGAAACAAACAGCTGCAAAAACAAATGCTTAGAGTTTACACACTCAAATAAATTCCAGTGGAGAAAAAATCAAGCATGTAGACAAGAGCACAAGTTAAGCAGCCATATTTTACGTACATGCACATGCGCGATTGACGAGTGGCACTGTAAGATAAATGTTTCGTGCCTACTTTCTCTGTTACTATAGCGCATTTTAGTTGATAACCCACACTTGTCTTTCCCTCGCTTCTCAAGTCTCTGTCTGCCCACATAACTACTACTACAGCGAATTTCAGCCATCCAGCTATTAAAAAAAATGAAGTGTTTCTTGGAGGCTTCACAAAAGAACTTTGAGAGGAGAACCACACCAGCACCTGACAAAAAGTTTAGCCAGTCAGGCTTACCTTTCCTTATACCATAGCGGAAGGCACGATGCTTGGGAGATTTGTCTGCAGGAAAGCAAAGGTGTGCAAATCTGTAGTATGGCTAGGCAGTATTAAATATACATGCATATTTTAAGTAGTATCCTAAATACTGTTTGGTTTATCTTATATCTGTGCAAAACTACAATCATAAATATGGGTACAGGTGTCTGCATTCTTGATGCATGCGTATCATATGGTGTATCACATATCTTCAATATAAGATGCACCAATTGCCAAGCTTACAAAGATGTCCAAAGTTATTAATGATTAGAAGAAAAGAACAATTTAATCTTACTGCCACAGACAGCTGTGTGTGTCATGCTAGTCTTAATTACCACAACTACCACTAACATCAATCATGTACAACACAGTGCTCCTTGGAGTTTCTATACTTTCTGACTTAAGTACCATGGAGCACCAGCTGGAACTGTGTAGTAATAGCAAGTTAAAAACGAAAAGCGGGGGTACAAACTGACAAGCCATCACAGTGCGATCAAGTGAAATATGTTCCCTTAGCTATAGTTTGAGAGCCAGTTCATCCCCATTACATGTAGAGTATATTTAGTTATTAACCATCAGAGTAAAGATATCAATGAATTGATCAAACCAATCTGGTGGCACATAGGACCTGCAGTGAGCTTATCTTTATCAATAGTGGCCTTTGGCAGGGGCAAACATACCTTACATATAGGAATTTTCGATTGAACATAATCGGCTGTAACACAAGTACCACTGCTTGGTGATTTAATAGGAAAGCGGTAGAAGTGAGGTGCAAATCACATGATACTATCACAATCAGTACATAGAGCTCTGCTTGAAGCATTAATGTCAAAAGATACTAATGATATCCACATGTATACAAATCTTACAAGCCATTTTCATTCAAGTCTCTTTGCTGTCGACCAAAGACAAGCAAATTTACAGCGCAATGCATTAATATTTTATCAATTGTTTATGTAAATGTTCTCTGAAATATATCCCAGCAAATTCAGCATGTAATGTGCAAGTTGATACAAGGCAGTCATGAAACTGTAAATGAACACTTAACAATGTAATACTTTGACATGCTCTGACATTCACCACTGATGCCGTCTCGTGCAGGTCAAACAGTTGCGATATGCTGGCAAAAATTCACAATGCCATGCAGCTACTGCCACCCTTACCGACTTTACAGAACTACGATATCTCGCTTTCGAGTTTAAAAATTGATAATTAGTACAGGTAATTAAACAAAATGGGCTTGATGCCCAGCTTTAAGAAGCCCATTAGTGCTACAAGCTTGCTAAGATGCCAGTACTGCAAATGGACATTGACAAACTCATGAATGTATAAAAGTGTATTGAAGTAAAAATGTCTCACAACAGTAAGATACATTGAATTCGCTAATAGTAAAACCTCAATTTCCCAGCTCTTCCACTCAGTCCCATTTAAACCTCATAGGACTAGTGTAGTAGCTTCTTACTTGATACAGGTCTTCTTGTTGGTTATTCCACCAAAAAAATTATAATGATGTCTTCAAATACTCCTACATGTAACCACTGGAAACAGTAACAGTGCCTGCTGTGTGCAGCGGTCTTTACAAGAAAGACAAAATTACACGTGTTCTGGCACATAGCCAGCCAGCTAACTGCTGACTATGTGCTGACTATGGTTGACAGAACACTGGTACAAGTGTAGGCTTTCTAGACAGAGAGGAATTGTCATCGTGGGTGTGGACTTCCACTTCACTTCATTCACTTTTACTTCTGCTTATACACTATTCGTGCATTGCTGTCCCCTGACAACGAAATGGTTGTTACAGAGTGCACTCTGTCCTGCCACCTTCTTTCCCAAGTTGTGTGCATTGCACTGAAAAAGTGTTCGTGAAATTTGTTGTTTTAGAACATTAATTCTTTTACCGTGGTCCCCTAAGAAGCATTACGGGTTTCTTCTCCATAAATCTCAAGCACTTGATGGTTCTCTATCCCCTATCTTTATCGTGACACAGTCGTAAAGTATTTTTGCCCAAGTCTGGTCTGTAGAAGTCTGTAACAAGGCTGATGATGCCTCGGGAACAAAAAAAAAGCTAAAGCATTATCCGGCAACTCTGTGCTCAAATTTGGGTGCATGTTGAGGAACCCCCCATAGTCAAAATTTCTAGAGCCCTGCTCCACGGAGCCTCTCATAATCATACGGTGGTTTTGGAACATTAAGTTCCACATATTATTGTTATTGAGAAAAAGAAATTCAAGGAGGCACGACAACACCTGCAGCCAATATAGCCACACAAATACTACTTGATTGCAATTGACTAAGAGATTATTTGTACAACAGAACTTGTCACAATTTGTATGTGCTGCGGCTTCTAAAAAAAGTTCAATGAGAAATAGAGTGAGCCACAGCTTGATAACGCTTTACTGCATCAAACTGTGAGTCGTTCGCTACAGTACAAGAAATTGTATTTTTGCTGTTTTTCGTATAAAAGGGCAGGCAATGCTGAACAGAGCGCAATTACTAATAAGCCAGCATCTGAAGGCTCAGCACCACTGATGCACGCTGAACTAAAAACACAATGCAGGTTGTATACCAGTTTACCTCACCAACAGCATGAACAATAAATAAAGTAATATTGGGAAAATTCTGGAAAATCACGGGGACATATCGTGCAGTTTTGAACACTATGACATGAGACAATGCTTCAAAAACAAAGTATCAATAAAGTAACCGTACAGCCTCACCGTCTAGCACAAGAATGATTTAAGTATGCAAGCCAGCGGGAAAGCTCGACAACAAAGTTTATACTATTTGCTTTTCGAACCACTCAGCCAATGAATATGTTTAGGCAATATACAAAGGAAACAAGGTTTTACAAATATACCTCAAAACAGTGGTTAAGGTCCTCTTCGACACGAAGCAGGACAGTAATTAAAATGCTTTAGGGTGAAATAAAATATACTCGCATCTTTATATAGTTAGCCTGAATATAACGAATTATCAGTTACAACAAAGTAAATTACGAATAGTCTTGCAATAGATATAGCATTAGAGATATACCTTTATCACAAATTTTCAGATATAACAAACTTATAGCGTGTAAGATACAACTTTGTTATAAAGAGGTCTGAGCGCATTCATTCTTCATTAACCTTCATATTCATACGAACACAAAAAAGGAGATCAAGGGTAAGCATAGTGTCCAGAACTCAAAATTTCGACAATTCAGACATTGCACACGTATCTCTATGACAAAAGGAGCATAAAAGTTCATTGATATGAGAAAGTCTTCAACCTTTTCTGTCCAGTGTAGTCATTGCCCTTTAGTGCATCCTTGGCCAGCGAACGTGGCTTCACGCAATTCTTCACAGTCCCTTTCTGTGCTTGTCTGATTCTTCTTTTTATGCCTTCAATTCCTAGATTGCAGAGTTCTGAATGGTTAGAAAACTCGATCACCGTGTTGTGAAAGGTGCCCGGCACCTCGCAAGGCTGGCACTGGCACGGGAACACAGTTGGGTGCATTTTAGTAAACATAATGCCGTTGCACAAGTAGAGATTTGTTTGTAGAATTGTACAATTTGTAGATAGTGTAGAAAAGACTGCCTCTTCTGTGGTTAGGATGGGGTGTGGCAAGTAGTACGCCCTTCTGGCCAATTAAGAGTGCCAGAAGATATTTTTGAATTTTTTTATACCAAAAACAAGTTTGGTCAACTTATCAATGCAAAAAACTTCTATACGAACATGGACAAACGGGTTTCCACCAGCCACTTCAGCATGATACTTCTCTTCTTTCCAGGTGCACAGTCAACTGCTAAGCCAGTAGCTTTGCACTGCTGTTCCGTTATGACACACACATGTAACTAGTGCAACACAGCTTTGCAAACTCCAATGAGGAAATTGATCATTGGCTGTAAATTTCAACTTTCTCTGTGCAAGACACTCACTTTCTCACGATTTTAAGAAGGTAACCCATCAGTCTAGCAGGACTACATTCTTGTCTAAACACACTTGAAGCCTTTTTCTTTATATTGCAGCATGTTACAACAAAATACTGGCTATTCTTTGGTTGTGCAAGAGTGTTGTGGCACCAGGTTTCTGCTTTAAATGTAAATACAGTATGTTCTTTCCTTTATGTAAATATTCAGCATATTTGAAGATAAAATTTTCTGCTTTATTCTAAAATATTACGTTTGGCTGAGTACAGGTAACTGCATACCTGATAAAGTTTGTTGACACGTTTGTAACTGACATGACTAATCATTAATACCGTAGGTAAGTTTCGGTCACTTACATGTCTAGGCTGGTGATATCCGACCTATGCAGGACATCAGAAAACACCACTCGCAAAACTGAAGACCACATTGCACACTCTAACAAACTTTTTCTAAAGAATAAACTTTACTTTCTTTTAAAAATAAACTAAGCTTTTACAAGGCATGTGGAGATAATTAGCAGATAGGAAGAGCAATTAATGTACAGCTGTTCACTGTACTAGTAGTGCGCTGGCGTGAAAGGCATAGTAACGTAACACCACTAACTCACACAACATTGCCTCGATATTCGGTATGTAGTCGGGGTGCTTTATGGTGCATTTCATAAGACAGTCATCAGAAAAGATGGCACAGAAAAGAACCAAAGCTCAACTGCAGTTTCAGGGCAGTCTATGCTCAATCACGTAGTTATTATCGTATGAGTCCAGAGTAATCGGAATTGACAGTCTGGTTACAAATAGGCTGGCAATGCGGCGGCAGTCTATGTTTCTACAGCCAGCAATAGCTAAAAAAACAATATACAAGGCATTCCACATGCTTACAGACGCGCAAGAATGAAAAATCTATGCTTTCCATGTGCAAGTCCCAAGACAACATTTCACATGTTCCTTCTTTTTGGGAGCTTTTCTCACAGGTAACGAATTTCAAAATATGCAACTGGCGGTAGTTCACGAATAATGGAGAAGTAAATGACAGGGTTCAATAAAAAAAAGAACACTCCAATCACAAAAGAATTTGTGGAGTATATATACATGTATATAGCACGCAGCTCTGTCAGCAACAAGACACCATTCCTGACACTAACAACCTTCAAAATGCCTACGAATCATGCTGACCACTTTTGGAAGGCTTGGCGTTCAAGCAGTTGTTGTCATGAGCCTTGTCAGCCTCTTCCGTTGTCAGGATTTTCCCATTGCAGCGTTGCGATGACAAGCGATCTTCGGTGTCACTGGGTTGGTCAGGATCATCGTTGCATGTCGCAACAGACCGGTAATCTTCGCTTCGCGAAAACCCCGGCGTCATTGTGCCACTATGTACTCCTTGGTGACTTGCGTGGTGCAAGTCGTGGTGACTTGTGTGGTGCAAGTCGTGGTGACTTGTGTGGTGCAAGTCATGGTGCTTAACCGATTCCCGGCTAGGCGCGGAAACCTGGAGTTTATATAGAAGATCAACGTTATTGTGGATCAAACATGCATGCGATGGAGCAACACTTTGTTCAACACTTAGCAAGCAACAGTGCGATCCAAAGCTCACTTTGACGACCTGTCAGTGCATTTGCTAATACTAGAGCTGTGCCAACAGCAAAATATTGGTTCAAAACAAATATTTTTCTATTTACTTCGAAAAGAAATTGCAGAAAGAAAAAGTTTAAAGGGATTCATAAGTATATTCTTATCAGATAGCAACATGAAAGTGTTTATTATATTAAGGTTGATGAAGTGCGGACCGGGTGGATACATAAATGTACAGATGAGCCAAGCCAAGCAGCGAAACCGATGAAGACATCGAGCAAGGATGTCCGCAGCTACGCACCAGACATTTCATCGCTCGGTACATTCGGGACGATTAAATTGGATCGAAGATTTTCAGCGTGCAAAGTTTCAAATGTTCCTGCATGTTGACATCCACAAGGCAGATTCGGAATGTCTTACTTGAAAAGAGCACGACCTAGTTACCACATCAGTTGGGCTTCCACAGAAGTTGTAAAAGGAGAAGAGGCTGAGGAAATAGACCCCTTGCCTATCACAAGTGAAGTGTTGTCGGGAACACTTTGGTTGCCCCAAATCATGTACTAATACAATGCAGCATCTTCACTGCCTCGTTCTTGCCAAGACAACTATGAAGTACCACCCGCCAGCGCTCCATCAACCTAAAAAAAAAAAACCTTTCATGCTGCTACAGACCTGGAAATAACGAAATAGACGAATTCCCGGAAAAAATTCGTTATGAAAAGGATTTCATTATATGCAGGTTGGATACAAAAAGTCAAAAGATAAACACACAAGTTAGACAAAATGGAAACTGAAGACAGAGCTAACTTAAAACACTTATTTGGGGGTAGAAAACTACATTATTATCAGAATAGGAATTATATGAATGCTCTCGGCGAGTTTTTGCTGTCGCCGTGATGTTCTGTAACAACTACTAATTGATAAGATGCCCCTGCACATAATTTACGAGCGAGTAACAGCGCACATGTGCTGCTGTAGTAGAGATCAAATCAGTCGACCCATCTCTATCGCCTGGATAGCTCTAGCGATGACATCGCTCTGTGTATTAGGACTGCTGTCGAATGCCCAAACAGAAGGGAAACAACCCCTCTTGAACGAGCATGAAAAAACGCAGGGGCGTGGAGTGGTGGGGGGGCAAGCATTAATGCGCTTTCAAGGCGAAGAGACAGTGAAAAGAGCACTTCTTACTGGAGCGGCTGTATTTAGTGCTTAGTAGGAGTTCCACTACATCTTATCCAAAAGCGTTTGCTTCCAGCCTTACTTCATATAACATTACAATAAATAAATTTGTTGCCATCACATTCTTTGCACTGCATTCAACGCGCCGCCCTGTTGTTACCAAAGCTAATCGGCTAATCGCAAAACCTACGATCTCCCGGCGCAAAAGCTAGTGACAAGTCAACCTCCGAAGATCTGTCTTTGTTACTGTGGTCTCGGAGAGTAATCTGACATCCCCTCGGTAGTGACAACACAGTTGCCCGCACTAAAAGAAAAGAAGATGAAAGCAAGGCTGAACGTTGTCAGGAGTCGCATCACGCACGCCCACACGCCATTAAAAACAAGGAGCGAATGACACGGAAATATGCAGTGTGGCCCCACAAATCGGACACTAAATAAGAGCATGGCACTGCCAACGCAAAAGTAACGTAGTTTTGTTTTGTTTTGGTGGGAGGGGGAGGGCACATGCCGCCGGGGCAGCAAAAACAGCGTCAATGCCAGCTCTACGGGCACAGGTCTGCCTGCCCACTTCGCGCACACTCGCGTGCAACAGCAAGCGTTTGTTTTCGCCTGGGAGTTGCCAGGGCCACCAGCTCGCCCCCATTGCTACGCGCTTTGGCAGCGGCTGGGCAACTGCGGAAGATGCATGCTCGTGCCAAAATGACAAATTCCCGGGCGAAATCCCTAAACTGTCCATGCTGAACATTCGTAGTATCAAGGATGTCTCCCCCTCTTACTGCGTTACACATGGGTCGCAAATACATGTGCTTCTATGAAGTAACAGTGGGGAATAGAAAAACTTCGTTATATTGAAGCACTTGTTATAAAGAGGCTCATTAAAAGCAGGCTTCACGGTATATCTCATAAGAATATGCTTAAGAATCCTCTCTAACCTTTTTTTCCCACAATTTTGGTTCAAACTATTAGAAATATATTTGATAAGTGTTAGAAAAATATTCAAGTCGATCCACACCCACACTTCAATACAGTTGACTCTGGTTAATTCAAACTCCAAGGGACCTCTGAGTTTTGTTTGAATTATCAAAAAGTTCGAATTATCAGAACGTCTCAGATACAAGACTCTGGGTGAGGTGACAACACCAGTTATACCACACATTATGATTAGGCATTGATTTTATCCCTTTAAAAAAATTTTAAGTGTTGTTAAGCCCTAACAGCATGCAGTTAACAGAAAGCAGAGGTGCAGAGCCCACAAGTTTATTGGCCATTTACTGTTGATCAGACCTATTAAAAAAATCGTGAATTGCCAACTGCTTCATTGCTATAGGTATGTGCCTTCCACACAAAGCTCTCAATACCACTTAAGAAGCATCACGATTTACCATGCGTGTGCTTCGTTTCAAACATTTGTTTACTTGCAAAGCCTTTTTGCTTGTAAGCCTCAAGTGCTTATTTTTCATTTTTTTTACTGTTAGGATTATATAAGCACACAAATTTTTAAATAGTAGTGGGAAAGCAGCAGATATTTTCTGGTATGGACCCGCAAAAAAGTATGAATTAAACAAATGATGGAGTTTGAATTAGGAGGCTTTCAAATACAATGAAAGAATAGAGGACCAACCCAAAAGTTGAATTTCATTTGAATTAACCAAAAGTTTGAATTATCACAGTTTGAATTATCGCGAGTCTACTGTCTTTCGAATTTACTTCACATACAAAATTTTGCTATTCACACAGCCCTACTAATACATCATACTGAAGGGCACTACCACAGACATTTATGCAAATTACCCCTTTATCTGCATTGCTCTTTTTTTCAAAAGGAAAAACCACAAAAAATGTAGTGTTCATAACTCATCACTGAAGAATTTTCCTTTTTAGGTTTGTGAATAACAGTGTGTCAGACCTTTTCATTGTTTCTCGGGAGCTACGCCACTTTAAGCTTTTATATGCTTCTTGAAACCGTCAACACTTCAACCTTTTTAGGGAAGTGACAAAGCACAAAAGAGCAGGAACACTTTCATACCCGAACAGGTACTCCAGTTACATCTTCTTCGACACAAACAGGAACAGGCTCGTGCACCTCCTCCTCAGATGAAGAGCCCACGTCACTCAATTGCCGAGGTGACATGCGACACCCGCGGAGGAGGAATCCGTTCAGGCGGCCACACGAGGCCAAGACAAGCCCCATGTAAGGTGGCGACGGCTTCAGTGGCCGGCTGATGTACTCTGGGTGGAACTGTACGCCCACAAAGTATGGGTGATCTGCAAAACAGAAAGCAGAAAATCTGAAGAGACAATGCAGACAGATGCACAAGACTATAGCTGTAATATTACAATCCACTCCTACATAGGGATGCTACTCTTTAAAACTTTGTTTATTTCTGATCAATTTTCCGAAAACTTGGCAAGTTTATGTGTATTTGTGGGCTGGTTCCGAATATGTAATTACTTAGTCTTCAGTGTAATAAATAAATTTTTTTACTTTCCAACAGTTCATGTGGCTTTTTCCCTGGAAGACATTTCTTGAACTAAGCGAACCACAAAGCCAACCTGCATATCACAATAATTGATGGCCCAGAAGGAAAAGCATCCACCATACTAACTCATACAGTCGAATCTCATTAATTCAAACACACTTAATTTGAACTTCAAGTTAATTCGAACTCATGATGAGGTCCCGTCAAAGCTATGTGTATTTCCATGGGTGAAAACGCCCGGTAATTCAAAGGTGCAAGCACTTGCGACAGTTAATTCGAACATACCGTGCTTCGAAAATGCTCTCAGCGCCCCACCTAATCCCGCGGCGGCACCTCCGAAACCTCAACGCTGCGCACAAAGGACAGGAAAAGGAAAGAAAAGGCTGCTGTGGAATGTTTGCCCTTAAATGCCAATCTGCGACGCACCTGTGCCGCACTTCTCCCTTTTCCGCCCCTGCCACGTAAAGACCCTTCCCTTACAATGCCGCGCGCAAAGGGAAAGAGGAAAAAAAAAAAAGGAAGCTGTCGCAGAGAGTGGCTCTCGCTCACATGCATGCGCCATGCTTCTTCATTCCCGTCCATGCCACGTAACTCTTCTCTTTTCAACAACTTGCGCGAACGCGATGAGAGAGAGAGAGAGAGAGAGAACATTTATTGAATTAAGCTTGTGAGTGAAGGTGGGATGGTGCCTTATTCCAGGAACCCTCTGACCTGGGCAGCCCGCCGAGCTCGAGCGACGAGTTGACGCTGCTCGACCAGGTCCGGCTGGGAGATCGCTGCCACTGAGGAGGTCTTGGTCTGCATCTGGTGCTGCTGCTTATAGCCTTGGTACGCTTACTTTGCACTGCAGTAGGAGGTGCGCCAGAGTGTCTGCCACATTGCAGTGAGGACAGATTTAGCTGTGCAACGTTGGCCTCATATGGTGCAATAGAAAGCAGTGAGTGAACGTGTTGCTTTGAAGACGCCTGTAGTGAGTGCCTTTGTCACCGGTGAGTTTTGGATGTGGCGGAGGGTATGACCTGCATTCGAGCCGATAATGTTGCAGCAATGCATGATATGTTAGTGGTACGGGATCTCCTGCCTTTGATTCTGTTGTTGAGTGGGAGGTACCTCGGATCTCGTATTGGAATGCCTGGTTGACGCATTCGCGGGCTGCGATGTGTGCTGCTTCATTTCCCTCGAGACCTTCATGACCTGGAATCCACACAATGCATTTGTAGGGACGAGGATTGTCCATGCGCTTTAGTAGCCTGATCGCCACCGTGGAGACCCGCCTTATAGGTAGTTCTGTGCCGCTGTTTGTGAGTCGGTAAAGACCACGATGGGATCCTCACTCGTCTGGGTGGCGAGTGCTATAGCAGCCTCTTCAGCTGTTTTCGCACGTTTGGTGAGGATAGTTGCCGATGCCCGTACCGCCCCCTTATAATATGTGACGGTAATTGCAAAGGCGTTACGTCCCAAATATTTAGCTGCGTCCACGTATTGCACCTGAAGGGTCATTGCCATGCTTTTCCGGATCATGTTAACTCTGGCAAGCCGCCTTGCTCGGTGATGTTGAGGGTGCACATTTCGAGGGATCTGCTGAATTTCAAGGCATTCTTGGAGCTGTGACGGTATTTTGCCTTTGCGTTCTTCGTTGGGTTCTAGGGTGGTCTCGTATACTGTGCGTCGAAGGACGGCTTGTCCCGTGAGTAACAGCTTGAGTCTCTCGACCTGGTTGATGAGTTGTGCTTCGGTGAGTTCTTCCCACCTATTGTGAACTCTCATGCGAAACAATCGGTCAGTGGAGGCGGCTGGCCACAGTCCTAGGGCTAGCTTTGTAGCCTTTCGTATCAGCAAATTAAATTTATGTTTCTGCGCTGTCTTCAGGTTGAGGTAGGAAGTTCCGTACGTTATGCGGCTGTAAAGAAGAGCTTGTACCATTTTTAGGGTGTTGTGCTTTTTGAAGCCACTGCAGCGGTTAGCCACCCTTTGGATTAGGTGAGTGAGCTGTGTCACACTTTTCTGCAGCCGGGGTAGGGCAGCGGAGCCAGACTCATCTTTACGTATATGTAGCACAAGTACTTGAGGTGTGACTTGTGGTATTTGGACTCCTTGTAGAAAGACTTGTGGGTCAAGTGCGTCGTAGCTTAGTAGTCTACCCTGGGTGCGTGCCGCAAGTACTAACAGTTCCGACTTTTCCGGAGCCCATTGGGGGCCACAGGTCTTGAGATAATCTTCAGTGATGTTAACCGCCTCTTGAAGTCGTTCCTCTTGACCCGTGCTTGCACCTCTTGTCCACATGGTGATATCATTGGCGTATAACACGTGATGTATCCTAGGGACAGTGTCTAAGAGACGTGGGAGTTTAAGGAGGGCCAAGTTGAAAAGTAGTGGCGATATCAATGAGCCTTGTGGCGTGCCTTCGTTAGGGAGTTGAAAAGCTCGCTCCGGATATTGGCAATCACAACAGTGGCTGTGCGGTTGGTGAGAAAAGCCAGCATGTAGGCTTATGTTTTGGCACCGCAGCCGACATCTTCAAGGCTACGCAGAATGGCTTCGTGGCTCACCATGTCAAATGCGCCCTTTACGTCCAGAGCTAGAACAGATAATTTACTGTGCTTGCTCAAGTGGAGAAGAATATCTTCCTTTATCTGCAAGAGGACGTCTTGTGTGCTGAGCATTTGGCGAAAGCCGAACATGGTGTTCGGGTAGTGGCCATTGTTTCGAGATGTATGGTGAGCCGCTTGTTTACCATGAGCTCAAAGAGTTTCCCAGCGCAAGACGTAAGGGAAATGGGACGAAGATCTGATATCGAGATTGGCTTGTTCGGCTTGGGTATCATGGTCACCTCCGAGTACTTCCAGGCTTGTGGTAGCTCGCCCTTGGTCCAGCAGTCGTTATAGTGCCGAAGGAGTGCCGTCAACACCCGGGGCGGTAGCTGTTGTAGGTGCTTATTGGTCACTCTGTCTTTTCCTAGGCTCGTGTTGAGCGTAAGCTTAGCCAGGGCCCCGTGTAGCTTTGCCTGCGTGAAAGGCTGGTCTAGTGCTTCGTTCGGTGCTCACTCCCTGGGTGTCGAAGTGTTTATAGAGGTAGCTTGCTGGTTAGTAGAGCCACGCAGCTTTGCTTGAAGTTCTTGGAGTAACTGGTGCTCTGTGCCCTCATAGTTGTGCATGAGCCACTGAATTGTATTTCTTTGATTAGTTTTGGTGTGGGTGTCGTCGATCAGGGCTTGAAGAATGCGCCAAGTCTTCTTTGTGCTCAATGTCCCGTGAAGTTTGTCGCAAAGGGACTGCCAGTTCTGGCTCGCAAGGTTTTCGGCGTACTCCTGTGCCTGTCTAATGAGTACGGCGATGCGGCGCTTCAGCTTGCTGATTGAGCTTTTGCCAGTTGCCATCGTTTAATAAGCGATCTTCGAGCTTTCCATAGGTGAAGGAGATGATCATCGACTGCCAAATCGTCCTCGTTCAAGTGTATCGTTTTGGTATGTCCGTCAACAACACTTACAATACTGTTTAACCAGGCTTCAATGTCTTCGATAGTCGAATCATCATCAAGCTCATTCCTGTAGGCGGTCCAGTCCGTGAGCCGAGCTTTTCCTGTCTTGAGCGAGCGGTGAGCCTGTTCGACCTCTATTTGAATTATGTGATGGTCACTCCCTAGAGTGTCTGGTAGCCTTGTCCACGTTGCGTTGTGCATGTCTCTAGTGAACGTGAGATCAGGATTAGTATCCCTCGAAACGCTGTTGCCAACTCGGGTTGGATGGAGCAAGTCATTCCACAGCGTCAGACCGTGTTGCTGCGCAGCGTCGTGAACACGCGCCCCCTTCTTGGTGGTGCTGTGATAGCCCCAGGCCGCGTGTGGAGCATTGAAGTCCCCAACCATGACGAGTCGGTTGCCGTTAACCATTTGACGGAGCTCGTGGACGAAAGCTGGTCGTATTGGTGTAACTGCTCCCGCGGAGGACTGTAAATGTTGGCCAGGTATAAGCTTTGTTGAGTCTTCCGAGTGGGGATTATCTCCACGATGGTGTGTTCGATGCCAATGTCTTCAATTTCATGAGCCTGTGCAGTTAGAGTCTTCTTGACTAGAATTGGGGTGCGGGGTGAGCATGTGAGAGTGCTGTAGCTAGGGAGCTTGATTTTTTCTGTGTGGGTTTCCTGCAACGCTATCATATCGGGATTATTTGTTTTAACATATTCTTGCAAGTTTGCAGAACGATGTCTGTAGGATCTGCAATTCCAGTGCCAAATTCGAAGAGTGGCGAGTGGCTCAGACTTTCTATGTGTGGGAGCTGCCATTCTGGCAGTTGATTCCCACCTGGTGCCGGTCGTTTGGTGCTGTCGATCGAATTTCCGCTGCAGTTTCATCCCCTAAATCTTTCGCACTTTCCGCTTGGTCCCTGATTGCTCCACTAGCTGCTCATGGGTAACGAAATTTTCGTATGCATATGTTATGAAGTTATGCTGTTGTGTCATGAAGCCATCAAGCTTGGCGTCGAGCCTGCTTACAGTATGGGTCAGTGGGTCTACCTTTTCCATAGTTTTAGTAACCACTTTATCTATGGTTATGTCTATGGATGTGAGGACTTTCGCAGTGAGGGATTCCTCGAAAGCTTCAAGGCGTCGTTCCACGAGGTCGAGCATCTTCACTTCATGTGCTTGCAGCCTTGCTTCTACCCGCTTCATTATTCTGGCTTCCGTCTGTTTTAGTATGCTGTCATCAAGTTCTAGCGTGCTACACTTGGCTGGTGGGCGTTGTTGTATCCTCCGTCGTAGATCTTGAACTTTAATTTCTAGAGCCCGG